TGGAAGTAAAAGGGATTTGATTTCTAATGTAAAATATTGCAACTGTGCAAAAATCTGAAGCAACCATGTTTCTCTTTATATTTTGTCTCCAAACAGCCAGAACAGGGTGTCTTGTGTTCTTTTAAAGTGGTTTTGAGATATAGTTCTGCACATCTTTTTCTTTGGAGATATTTTGCTTTTTACCTCAGTTTCTGTGCAGTTCCTCAATGTGTTTGATGCCTTCCAGTCAGGTTTCAGGCCCCACCACAGCACTGAGACAGTTTTGATCAAGGTGACCAATGACATCCGCCTGAACTCAGATGCAGGCAAAGTCTCGGTCCTAGTTCTGCTGGACCTGAGCGCTGCCTTTGACACAGTGGACCATGTGATTTTATCACAGAGGTTAGAGGACTGGGTGGAAATCTCTGATGTGACTTTAAAGTGGTTTAAGTCCTACCTCAAGGACAGGTGTTACTTTGTGGAAATTGGGAATTGTGTCTCAGACCGAATGGGTCTGACCTGTGGGGTTCCCCAAGGTTCAATCCTGGGACCCTCTTTGTTCAATCTGTACATGCTTCCATTGGGGCAGCTGATACGCAGCCATAATCTGTCCTATCACAACTATGCAGATGACACTCAGATCTATGTGTCACTGACAGCAGGAGAATACGGGCCTGCAGATTTATTGTGTTGAACAGATCAGTTTGTGGATGCAGAACAACTTTCTCCAGTTAAACCCAGACAAAACTCAGATCATTGTCTACGGCCCACAGAAACTAAGAGAAAGTGTCATTAGTCACCTTCAGAGACTCTGTCTGGAACCTAAAAATCCAGTCAAGAATCTTGGGGCAATACTGGACTCAGACCTGAACTTTAACAGCCACATTAAATCAATAACATCAGCAGCCTTTTACCATCTCAAAAACATTGCCAGAATTTGAGGAATAGTGTCTAAACCAGACTTAGAAAGACTAATCCATGCGCTTGTCTCTAGTAGATTGGACTACTGTAATGGCCTGCTCACTGGACTCTCTAAACGAGCTGTAAGACAGCTGCAGAATATCCAGAATGCTGCTGTTAGAGTTCTGACCAGAACCAGGAAATACGACCACATCACTCCAGTGCTCAGGTCTCTCCACTGGCTTCCTGTCCCTCAGAGAATAGACTTTAAAACAGCTCTGCTTGTGCACAAGTCTCTTCATGGGCAAGCACCAAAATACCTTTCTGACATGTTAGAGCCATATGAACCAGCTGGGACTCTGAGAACCTCAGGTTCTGGTCTCCTGATGGTGCCCAGAGTCAGAACTAAACAAGGTGAAACTTCATTTCAGTTCCATGCTCCTAAAATCTGGAACAGTCTTTCTGAAGATGTGAGACAGGCTTCAACTCTGACAGTGTTTAAATCCAGGTTGAAAATGCTTCTGTTTAATTGTGCGTATGGTAATTGAATGTATTTTGTCTGCACCCTTCACTTTTCATCTGTCTAATTTTGATATTTTTTTCTTTTCTTGTTTTTCTGCTTTTAAATTCTCCGTGAAGCACTTTGAATTGTCTTGAACACAAAATGTGCTATACAAATAAACTTGCGTTGCCTTGCCTACTAAACTTAATCAAGTTAAGTTTAAAATATTGATAATTCAAGCAGAACAAAGCACCAAACGACTAACTTTCCAAAGAGCTGCTAGCTGAAACCTTGGCATATCTCACCATGGTGTGCAGTGTCTCCTTAAAACATTTGAAGAAACTGGACAAGTGGAGAACAAAAGAAGAAGAACTGTCCCTAAACCTGGCTCCAGCAGGTGAAAAGCATCTGAAAGTGATGACCTTAAGATAGAGGAACAGATCCAGCAAAGACCTGAACCAGGAGCTGAGAGATGCATCTGGACCTTCAGTTGATCATCTCCTGTCAGACCAAGCCTCATCAGAAATGCTCTACATGAAGGGGGGGCTGTGAAGAAGGCATTCTTAAGGAAGGGGAACAAGAAGGAAAAGGCTGAGCTCTGCCAAAGGACTCAAGAAGTGGACTGAAAATCAGTGGCAGCAGCTCTGATGGAGGGATGACTCCTCCCCAGAGCCCGGAGCTCCACATTATGAAGCAGTGTGGGATCATCTGACAGAGGACGGAGCCAAAGGCAGCCCACATCCAGAGAAGAGCTTTGGGACGTCCTTCAAGAAGCCTGGAGAGCTGCTCCTGAAGACTCCTTAAAGGAAGGACACACAGCTGCTCGGAGACGGCTCAGAGATGGAGGAGAAAGGAGCTCACAGCAGAGATAAAACTTTAAACTGCAGATTTCAACAACCTGTATTTTGCAGCTTTATATCCTGCATTTACTGGAATGTTTGCTCCTCTTCTTCATTGGTCTCCTGCAGTATGTAGATGATGAGACATGCCATAACATTTTGGCTAAATGTATGTCAGAGAGCGAAAATATAACACTAACAGTTAGTGTGTGGAATAAGTCCAGTAATTTGATTCACTCTGTGTTCACTCTGTGTTTTGTGTATCTTTTGTGGCTTCTGATCAGAAGACACCATCCCTCAGCTGGAGCCCGGTGTGACTGAAGCCTGATTTGAAGCCTGCTGTTTTACCTCCTGCACCCAAACGGGCTGAAGCCGTCCTGGTTCCCCAGGTTTCCCTGTGTAACAGTGACTCTGGGCCCACTCTTGGGCCTCTGGTGCTAAATGATTCCTTCAGGGCCGTGAAAAGGCAGCCGGGGGCCCTTCAGGTGACAAATGAGCGTCCGACACACAAAGATTGTTCCCAGTAGCGGAAACGTTAGCTCAACCTTCAGAGTCCTCGTGGATTTATTCCCTCACTTGTTGTCTTACTGGTCGCTTTCGGCTATCGGACAGTGATTCTTTTTAAAAAAAAGGAGAAAAATGAAAAGAAACTGCTGTCAGTTTAGCTTCTTCCAGCTTTTCCTGCTCCTGGAATCCACACACTAACTACACAACAGATCATGACATGTGCTGCAAAAAACACACTAATCACACATTGACTACAAAGTAAACACACTAGCTACAAAGTACAAACACTAACTAAAAGTTAACACATTCACTACGAACACACAAACTACAAAGGGAACCTACTTAATATCTCTAACCTCTTACTCTCTTTCTCTCCCAAATCTTTTCCTTTTCAAAAACCAAACATTTCCAGATATCTTTCTGATGGCAGCCTGTTTCTAATCTTTATTTTTTTTCTGGATGCCACAAAAATACTCAGGATAAAGGTGTGAATTACTGATCATCAGTCTGGTTTTACTCAGCCCTTCAATACAATTTAGAAAAACTGGTTTGCCCAGACTTCAGAACATGGAAAACTTGCTATTTTTTGGTTCAAGTGAGACAGAAAATCTCTAAAAAGCCTGTCCCAGTTGCAGTGTTTCAGCAGCAGGTTTGACTTTCTTCATGAAGGGAAATACATCTACTTTCTTTCAGTAAAGATCATGTTGGTCCAGTTTTAGCCTTTAAATTCAGAACAGAATTTGAAGCTCTGATTAAGCAGCTCTACCTATCTTAGATAGTCCATTGTTTGCTATTTTCCCAGCAGATCTCCTTGCTTTCAGATTGTGGGTCTACTTGTAGTTCTTAGAGTTTTTGTAAGTAGAAATTGACTAATGTTAAGAGTTTGCACTATTGCACTATTTTCAGTGTAAAATTTCCCAAACTGGTCCCCTGCTTTCAACATACTCCATCAGATAAATGAAGAGATGTTTCAGAATGAAAAGCTGAAACGCCACTGTGATCAGAAATATTGATTAGAGCCTAAAGAAATGTCCCAGTTAGTGGGAAGACCCCCCACTGGGCAGCTACTGCTGGCCAGAGAGCGCTGGGGGAAGTCTGCTGGGCAAAGGCTCCCATTCCTGCATACATTTGGGTTCCTCTCTAAAGGCCGGGGTGTCCAGCCTTCTGCTGACCTCTGACCCCTGCAGAAAGGTTATTAAAGCCGCCGGTGAAGCCTCCCAAAGCTGACCGGCAAAGAAGGGGCTGGGAAAGTGGCCTGATGGAGGCGAAGGGTGGCTCAGTGGGGTCGCCGCAGAGAAAGACGGGAGGTTTTAGGAGGGCGAGGGGTGGGGGTGTCACAGAAGTTCCCTTTGAGCCCCCCCACCCTTCTTCCTCATGTCCACAAGTGTGTCCCCGCAGCTATTGTGACTCTGAGCTACAGCAGGACAGAAGGCCTCACAAATCGGGTCTAAACAATGTTTGCCCCCTTTTGTTTCTGGCCTGCCTTTCTTCTTCGGCCCTCCATCGCAATCTACTGGCCTCCTTTGTATCGATCCCTCTCATTCAGCAGCTCGTCAGCCTCTTTCCGCTGCTTTCTATGCTCTTTTCTGGCTTTTTTTTTTTTTTTAACCACCACCTCCCCCCGCTGGAAGCTTCATCCCTCTGCTGGCATTCTCTGCTGTGTGAGAACGCAGACGGGACGCTTCTCATTAAAGACACCTAATTGATTAAGAGTGTAATTAGTGTGACAATTGGAAGGGGAAATCAATATGTTTTAAGTCAAAGGAGGCAGCTCAGAGGAGAGAAGATGGAGAGGAGCAGCGTGCCCTCACACTCACCAACAAAAGGAAACCGAGCTTTAAATAAACAAGTTTTTATTCTGATTAAGTTCCATCAAAACGTCTGATAAGTTGCTGCTCAGATGAACGACTTTGTCGACAAAAGAAAGCACGATTCCACAAAAACATTAAGTGTAACACCAGAAACTGAATAACGTGAGGGTTTAAATGCAAAAAGAGAATAGGTTCTGTTGGATTTCTAAATCATGAATGAAAACAGTTTTTAAACAGCTTCCAGTGTTATTTTTTAAAAGGCTTTTTTGGCACAAGTTGCCTTAAATTGGAAAGCTCTTTGAATGTCAGAAAGAGAGAAGGACATGCAGCTGAATTGGGATTTGAACCGGGGAACCAGACCCCCTTTCTACCTTTAAGATCAGGTTGCAGACTTTCCTTTTTGATAAAGCTGATAGAGATGCTTAGCGACCTTGAAACATCCCATTCTGCTGGGGGGCTCCCATGATGCACCTCTCCTCCCTCTGCTGCTATAGTCCCAGACTGCTTGGGGGTGGGGGGGCAGATGCACCTCTCCTCCCTCTCCTCTCAGCAGGTATCTCTGGCCTGGTGTCACGGTGCTGGTCGTCCCCCCTCTTTCCTGACCTCTGAACCCCCACCTGGTCCAGAACGATGGTTCTGGTTCTGATGGTTTAAAAGGATTGTTTTCCTCCCATAGTCACCTGGTGCGCTTTCACCAGTGTCGTCATGGAGATTATGTTGACACTGATCTGTTAGTTTCCTTAGAGAGGAAACAGTGAATGGGAAGAAATTTGGAATGAAATTAACTGGACCTGATTGGATAGTGACTGTCTTCCATTTAATCTGATTCATTACTTTTGAAGTGAATCGAGGCAACCCTTTTTGTGACTTGTTCTGTAAATAAAACTTAACTGGCTTGAATCAGTGAGTTTTAGTCTCTAAAAAAAACGACTGGGCTCACCGGTGACCTCAGACTGGTTTTACAGCACTTTGTAATAAGGAGGGGGCAGAATTTAAAAGGAAAAATGACCTGCTGGGAGCAGATAGATGACTGTACAGCTCAAAGGTTTTTATTAACATGGTGCATTTAGGCAGCACTTTGTGTTCCACAGCTCGGAGCCGCAGCAGAGTCCTGTAAAGGGGAGGCCGAGCGCCCCCTCCGCCCCCTCCTCTTCTCTGCCGGTGTGCCCCCTGCTGGCCAGTCCTGCTCGGAGAGCTGAGACAGGAGGAGGTCCACGCTTTGGACCAGAACAGAGTCAACAACCTTCTGCTCCTCTGAGGAAAAGCGGCTCAGGACGTGGCGCTCCACAGACGTTTTCCCCACCGGCCGGCCGATTCCGACCCGGATCCGGAGCATCACCTGCAGCAGAGACCAGAGGACAGGACCACCCTGCCGTTTACACACCTGAGAGAACTTTCTGAACAATCTGCTGGTTCCTTTAGAGAGGAAACCATTTTGCCTCCATGTCAGTAGAACCTGTAGTTTTCCCTTTTCTGGTCATTTCCCTTCAGTGGGACGTGAAGAAAAAATAACTCAAACACAGACACGCAGGACAAACTTCAGCAGTGCGTTTCTGAGCAGAGAAGCACGGAACAGCCTCTTACATCAGTCTGCAGACAGTCCACACACGAGCGAACTCCATTATGGCCTCTGCAAGACAAGAGGAAGAGTTTAGAGTGAATTTTTTCCCTCAACACAGGAAAAGCTTTACATGTTTAGACGTCTACACAAATTAACAAAAAGCACACAAATCATTAGCTAAGTTGTCGTTTTTAAGCTCTAAAAATAATGCTAGTTGGATCCTTTATTTGCTCTTTGGTAACATTGTTGCATACTCATATGATGACATTGCATTTTTGTTTCTCTGCACTATGACACTTCTTTTTTTTCAACTTCGACCTTTTGGCCTCATGAAAAACACTGTCAAATATTTTAAATCTAAATGATTAGTTTCTATATATTTTAAAAAATATAGTGTATTCAATGTGCACATCAAATGTAGTTAAGTAATTTGGATCTTCAGAGCCAGATTGTAACACAAAAATATATTTAAAAACATTTTAAAAACAAAGACAAACCCACTGTTCTGAAATGAGGAAAAGGAGTTGAGTTATAGGACCTATGAGGTGCTACTGATCCCAGATATGTCGGAGAAGGTAAAAATGCACACCAGATCTTGCGCCTCATTAGGTTAATCTGTGTCGTTTTTTGTGACAACACTCAGTTTGTCACTTGCACACGTTGGTCATGTTTCGATCTCAATCAGTGATTTGGAAGATTTATTAAACTAATTTTTCAGAAATATCCTTAATCTTTTCTGCCCAAAGCTGATTTTCTCTCTCACATCAACTTCGATAATCCTGATTTTCGTCTTTTTGTGTTAAATAACGAACACAACAGATAAAACAGTAAAACTACGCAAACAGGAAATGAGGTCAAACCGAACCCAGAAACCTTTTTCCACCTCCATTTTTCACCTACCGGGCACTTCCTCCATGTTTGATGGAGAGCTTCCCCAAAGGTTTGTCCAATTCATCATGGATCAGCAGGATGTCCTCGGGCTTGATGCCGTATTTACCAGCTGGAAAAGAAAGAGATGACATCATCTTGTGTTAACTGAGAAAATCTATTATTCCACCTGTTAAAAACAAGATAACTATGTTCAAAATTAATAATGTCAGAGTTATCTATGTGTTAAATATCAAAGAGAGGTAGCTAAAAAAAAAGAAGAAAATTATTCACACAAAAATTAAATTATGATTAAAATACAAACATTCTATTCTTTTTATACAAAGACTGCCGATTTGTGATCAATCTTTTATAAATTATTGGATTTTTTGCTGTGATTAGAACTACATACAGTATTTCAAGATAAAATGTTATTTCAATGTCATCTTAAAATGAAATGCCCAGTTGTCCCAGCTTTTCTTTAGTACCTGAACGCACAACACAGAAGGACATACTGAGGAGTTTGATACTCAAGAGTCTCAAAATCCCTCGTGACCTCTTAAACTGGTCCGTGCACATCAGGCCATGCATGTGCACGTATTCAGTGAGCCGTTTTTTAACAGGAGATGAACACATATGTGAGGCTGGAGGTGAAAACCTGTGTAAAATAATATGTTTGTGAGCTTGTGTGCACTTATTTTACACCCAAATTAACACATAAAGTGCTTTAATTACAAATGCACTGGATGCATTCTCTCTCCACAGATTTATGGATAATTTTTACATGAATAAATTCTCCCATTCTGCTGTTAATCAACTCCAACCTTTAAACTGTTTCCTCGCAGTTGGAAGTATTTTAAAACTTCTCTTGGAGAAACTCCAAGGCAGAAGTTCGACTGTAAAAGTCCCCTAGCTGTCACCTTAAAATGGAACAAAAACAGCTCACCGTTTCAACATCTTTATGCAGATTTATAGAACTTTCTTTGCTTTGAATGCGTTTTCTGTTGGAAATGTGCGACTCCGCATCCTGACTGGTGTCACCTGCTTCCCCCTCCTGCTCTTTGCTGTGTGTGGGTTAGTTCAGGCAGAGATCATCAGTCTTTTAAAATGGATTTTTACCTCCGAAACCACAGATGTGAAAAAGGGCCTTAAACACGCATTTGGAGCTAATTTTTCCTTGACAGAAAAAATACATCAAGTCCATCCAGAGGCCCTCAGAAATGACCTCACCTGCTCTGGCCACCGACACGCCGTTGACGTTCATCAGCAGACTGGGACGGAGCAGCACCACATGAGTGCTTTGGACCTCTGACAGGGTGACCTCACCGGACACATGCTTGTCGGCACGCCAGCGATCGGCCACGCCGAGCCGTGCGGCGAGCGCGCCGAGCACAGCCATGCCCACGCTGTGTCTGGTGCCCTCCATCCCCGGGTTACCCAGCCCCACCACCTGGGAGGACACACACACACACACACACACACACACACACACACACACACACACA